CATGATATTAGTATTCTTACATTGAAAGGAGTGTCATGTCTCCAACTAGACAGCTGTAGCTGTTCTATCATCATATACCTGCTTACTCTCCCTTCCAAAAATGCTTTTTTTTGTCCTCAGGTTAATATTGCTGATATGTACAGAATCACTTCTGGCTGTGATGGGTGAGAATCCACCATCTCCTTGTGGTCATTGACCCTGGAGCTGGTGTGACCAATAGTGCCTTTACAAAAACAAGGACTGTTTGGAAAAGTCACAGCTTATGTGAAGTTTTTGTTTGTTTGGATGGCTGTACCACAGGAATAGAACATAAAACTTCTCAACCCACATGGTTATTAATACACTTTTACAGTGCTGCTTCCAGCAGAGGAAGGCTCGGATCACATAAATGGGAGACTCAACAGAGCCCTGAGATTCTCTTGTACATCTGCTCCTGTAGTACAATGAAAGAATACTATTGAATGTTCACCTGATTGCCTTCTGTATACTCAGTTTGTGTTATGATGAAGTTACAGATCACACCACCTCTTAGTGGAGCTGCTCTGGGGAACTCAAGTGCAGAGTATAAGCAAAGGCATTTTCACCTTTGGCTAGAAAGAAGAAGAGTGAAAGAATTGTATGTGGCTCAGTAGCATGGCTGGTTACTGCAGATTGGAGGTACACACAAGCAGTGGGAAATACAGTGAACTTCTCTTGAGCTGAAAAAAATTTTGAATTTCAAATAAGATTTTTTGCATTTTTTAAATGTTCCCGAACATTATTGGATCTTCATACTTCTAAGAGGGTTGTTTCCTTTTTCTTCTATTGTCTCAGAATGAAGGAAGTTAAAGGGCTTTTACCACTTTATTCCTTTTCCAAGTTAAACAGAGTAGCAAGAAGCAAATTGACAGATGGAGGTGGAAGGTAGATGCAGTTAATTCTGTTACAGGTGCTGTCAAAGTTATCATTGTAAAGTGTTGATGTTTGATGAAATATTTCGAGGATGAGAAAGGTTCTTTTCCAGTAACACAAGGGGGGAGGGAGGAAGAGATTTAATGATCAGTTCACAAACACACTTCATTATTTCTAATTCAGCAATCACTCATACAACAGAAATTGTTTTCTAGTGTTCAATTTCCACATACCCTAGGGTGGACACTAACTCCACAGAAAAATTTCTTGGTTGAAGCATGATGCAAAGGATCTGCTAGTAACCTCTAACTTAGAATTTGGGCATCTTGATGGATATTTAACGGGATGTGTCTCTTTAAATCCTCGGGCTGTTTTTCATTTGCATTTGCTTGGGGTTTTCAGTGAGGTCAGGATTTGCTGGAAGCAGAATGCTTCCTTGCCTTTGGAACAGAATGCCAGAGGAAGCTTCTCTTGCCTCTGCTCTTGTGCTTCAGGGCTGGAAGGCAAAATAATTAGTTCCACACAACTAAGAATAAATTACCCGGGTTAAAACATGATATTTCCTGACAACTGGCAGTGTTGGAAAAAATATTTCAGTAAGTCATTATCAATGAGAAAATCGGTGTGCAGAGCAGATGATTCCAGTGTGGGTATGTGTACCTTTACACTCAGCTTAGTGCTGCTAACTTGGCCGTAGGTTGCTCTCTGTACCCTGCAAAGTCAGTATACTTGGCAAGAATAAAGATAGGTAATATTAACTGGATAATTTATTTAGTTTTCCTTTTCAGAAAGATGGTACAGTAATATATCTATTCCTTAGGTTAGAACATTTCAGAGGTAATTTATCATCTTCTGAGTATTTCAGGATTAAACAAGGTTCATTCAATCCTTGTCCCTTTATGTTTGCCAGAGGACTTGGAGATTTTATTGAGGTTTATTTCATCTTTTGTTGGGGAGAAAAGGAAGTCTTTATTTTGGTTGCCTGTTTTATCTTCATCTGTTAGTTGAAAATTTGTTCAAAATCTTGTATTTTTCAGTTGTTGTTGGGTAGGAATAAAGGGTTTTAAAGACAAATATGATCATAGAATCATAGAATCAACCTGGTTGGAAGAGACCTCAAAGATCATCGAGTCCAACCCTACAATCATTATTAGACCATGACACCAAGTGCCACATCCAGTCTGATCTTGAAAACCTCCAGGGATGGTGAATCCACCACCTCCCTGGGCAGCACATTCCAGTGCCTGAGCACTCTCTCTGGAAAAAATCTCTTCCTAATATCCAACCTAACCCTCCCCTGGCAGAGCTTGAGTCTGTGCCCTCTTGTCCTGCTGCTGGTTGCCTGGGAGAAGAGACCAACCCCCACCTGACTCCAACCTCCTGTCAGGGAGTTGTATTATATATTCCTTTTTTAAAAGGATTTTCAAAGTACTTACAAGGGCATAAGAGCAGAATTCTTGATTCATTAACTACATGGACAAGTGTAGACTATTCTTTGCTTTCTTCTTCAGATCATATCATTGTGGAGAACATAAAATTATTATTTGTTACGGTATTGCAGATTTGGGAGAAAAATGGAATTAAGGCAATTCATTTGTTGTTGATAGCAATTTCTTAAGGAAATTTTGCATCCATTATTATACAAATATTTCCATTTTGACCTGTTTTGCCAGATTCGGTTTTCTGTAGTTTAAGGGTCATGCCCTTCATTGAGGACTCTGTTTTCTGACCCTGCCAAACCACAGCTGTAGGTACAGAGGGTTTTTAGTAGTGCCTCGATATTAGTATGACTTAGAACCTTTCAGCATACCTACTGTTCCCTGGATGGGAACAGCCCTGGCATCGATTACTCCAGACAGGCTGAAAGAACAGACAGGTTCCTGCTCTGCACACGCTGCATTGCTGTTGAGGGGCAGTTGCAAAGGGGAACTTGCAGTTGCTGCCTTGGGAAGCAGCTTCACAGATGCTGAAGCTGAATTATTTAGCTGCCTCTCGTGTGTGGTTTGCTCTCAACAGAACATCCCTGCACTGTCCTCTCCTCAGCCAGTCAGAGCCTTTGGCGATTCTCCTCCAGAAGTAAACAGGAGTCTAAGAATAGCTCAGTCTTTGCAGTGTGTTTTGTGGGTCGTCTGGCTGAAGGGTCAGCCTGTCTGGACAGCTGACACTGCTCCTGGGGCTCTTCCCTCCCCAGCAGCCACAGCGTGGGCACCAGGACAGCTCTGCAGGCACAGCCAGGAGGCTCCTCCTGGAGCTCCTCACTGGGCTCAGCAGTGTATGCCAATGCCTCAGAGTGAATGCTCAGCAGTGGCAGTATGTGGTAACAAGGCATCAAACAATAGATAGGAGTGTATAAAGAGGGAATTTTCAATTCTTAGCCTTATATCTGACCCACATGATGTGCCTTTGGTTATGGTTTTTTAGTGCTCTTTAATTTTGTTTTGTAATGCCGTTTGTGTTGTGACCAAATTTATTTTTGAGCATAACTTGGAGGCCTAATACTTGTTTTTCCTAATAGAAACTATTGGCAAAGGTAAACCAAACCAAATTTCAGTCCATTCCTTAGCAACAAAAAACTTAGTTCTTCTGCTAGCAGTAATATATAGGTTGTGTGCAAAGATGAATTGAAAGTTTGCATGTGCCTGCTTAAGAGAAATAAAAAAAAAGAGTTATAAAGAGTCTCAGGCCAGAACACTCCTCCCATGGCCATGGGTTATACAGAACATTCCCAAGCATTTCTGTGAATTAGTTCTTTATTCAAGCTTCCACTTGTACCACACCTGCCGTGGTTTGTGACTTTGTCTCCTGCAAAATCTTTTATGGATATCATTGCAGATCTAGACCATTATCTAAAACTGTCATAGAGCAAAAGCAACCTTAGCCATCATCTAGTTCCAATCCCCATGTTGTGCTGTGTTCCAGGTGTAAGTTTAATAGAGACAGGAAAGTAGTAGTTGATGTGTCTACATAACCTTTTGCTCTGCAGTCATAGCAACTCAGTTTTGCCAAGGCTGGAGTGTAAAACCTGGACATAGTTGCTATATTTCCAGAGCTACTGGTCAGCAGGTGAGACAAAAAGGCTAGTTCATGCTTTCATTCAGCACTAGAAATCCTGGACCAGATAGCCTTTGTGGTTGTCTTGTTGCATTATTTGTTACATGTGCCTTTGAAGGAAGATCTTGCTAGGAGTGTTTTGGAGATGGGTAGCTTACCTGCCACGTGTCATTCACCAGTTTATGATACACATTTACTGATGCAAGAAGAACTTGTCAGAACAACACAGAAAAGAATCAGCTGAGAAATCTGTATGCAGTTTACTCCTTTGTTGATAAAGTTGTTTTCGACAGGTTATCCTGGGCATAATGTGTCTGTTCCTTGGATGTGTGTGTGTGTATACGAGGGATTCAGCATTAGGTCTTCTCAGTGTATCAAAAGATATGTTCAGAAACCATGAACTGATCAAATTCTACACCCACAGAAAACAAGGCTGATATGTTTTCTCCCCAGGGAGTGGCACTTTCTGACAGTCCATCGCCTAGCAAGCTCTACACCCACAGAAAACAAGGCTGATACGTTTTCTCCCCAGGGAATGGCACTTTCTGACAGTCCATTGCCTAGCAAGGCACCATGGAAGATGAACATACACCATGCCAGTACACTAAAAAATATCACAGTACCAAAGGAAATACTTAAAATAATATTTCTTCACAACTTGTTAATTATCAAGTGCCTTTTTTATCTTACGTATGCAGTAATGTTTTTCTCAGCTTTTTTCCTTTCTCTTTGCTAATGTGTTCTTCAGCCTTCAGTCCCATCATGCCCAACACCCTTGGAAATGAGGAATAATAGCCTGTCTTTATGTTGTTCTTGTAATACTGTTGATACTTTCTTGCTCTGAATTCCTTCCTGGTTGTTGGAAAGGTTGCTGATTCCTTGTTGTAATTTGATTGTTTTGGTTGTGTTGCTTGATGTTTTTGATGCAGGATTATAAGAACTAGATCCTTTCCTGCTTCCTTTGCTATTAGAATAATTTTCATTATTTAATATACTCCTGAGATGATTTTGGATGGGTTTTCTTGCTCTTATCTTAATATTTACTCCTTTTCTTTAAGATTGAAAATCTTCAGGAACAGTTGAGAGACAAGGAGAAGCAAATGAGCAGCTTGAAGGATCGAGTGAAATCCTTACAGGCTGACACCACAAACACTGACACTGCCCTGACCACGCTGGAGGAAGCACTCGCAGAAAAGGTGAGTCTGGAAAGCCTTAGCCCCTTCCTGAGAGAGTTCCTCCTGCTGATGAGCTCTCTGAGGCCTCTGTTGGCTCAGTGCTGGGCTGCACAGCGGGTGACCGCGGGGCCTGCGGCGCTGGCACCGTCCAGGAGTGTCCTGCT